TTTCCACTGCCCAACCAGTTTCTGCAACTAGATTAGAAAGGCAGAACATGAACATCATCTTCAGCTCTCAGCCCTTCTCTGGGCTGTAATTCCAGTTCTGCTGTGGACTGTTGATAACTTGGGGGGTGTGTGTGGGGGGTGAACATCACTGAGAGCCTAGCTGCATATTTCACTGAGTCGATGAAAGATACTTTAGCCTCTGCACAACAGCTCTTAGGAGAACTGTTCTCGGCTATTCCACACCCTCATTGTTCCAATTAAAGGCTGAATAAGCTTTTAGTAAATATTATTTTTACAAAAAGTAAACATTCAATCAGAAAAGATATATATATTCCTATGTTATTTAAAGAAAAAAAAAAATAGCCAGGCTTTCACCCATATAGCACAAAGGAAAAAAAGGTAAAAGTTAAAGGTGCAACCTTTTTCTCTTCCCCTACCATTCTAGTAAGAAAACCACAAACCCTAAAAACCACTATCAGTGATGCAAAGTCAGGCATACAGTTTCATTGGCAGCCTAAAGGAAGGTGCAATTCAGAGGCATCTAGAAGGTGCCATCATCTCTGATGAATTGCCAGCAGCATAACACAAGGTGCCAGGCACAGTGAGCTACCCTGTAAAACAGCCAGCAGGTCTTACAGAGTAAGATGCCTTTGTTTCTGCAACTAAAAAACCAAATTACATAGTGCCTGAAAATTGAATTCATTCTGGTTGTAGATGGTTCCTAAAGTAATGTCAGCAAAGACCAAAAGTGATTCCTAGTGGCTGCTCAGCAGCTTGCACAAACCCAACAGCAGGACAAGAACCTGCAAGAGAAAAGCAGTGCTCACATTTGCAGCAAGATCTGAAGGTGTCAGGTCTGAAAGCCAAAGACTACCTTGTCAGGGAGAACAGCTGGAAGACAGGGAGCTTGGTCTGACACTTAACAGTGGTGGCACAGTGTGGTCAGTTTTCTTTTGACCCAGCTCTTCGAGCACAGTCAGATGCACTACTTCATCGCCAGCTCAGTTGGGTAGCTGCTTCATCCTCCAACACGACAGCATCCTGAAGATACGCTGACAAAATTGCACACTGTTCTGGATCTGCCCAGTTACCAGATCTGTTATTCAGATTAAAGCATCTGGAGTCAGGAAAGAGTAAACACCAACTTTTTGCCAACAGATGTGAAGCACTGCAAACCTCTGCCATGTGGTGAGTAACTACCAGTGCTAAACTAACTAGCAGTACCTGCAGCTAAAACCATGCAGGTGACTCACTGCCAGCAGGTTCCTGTGCATTGGCTGTTATGGTCATGCTTGAGCTCTCTGCTGTTTGACTCGAGTATTTGCGCTAACCAAAAAAACCTTGCCACCCCAAGCATGAAAAGCATGCATATACTGGTGATAGCTGAGAGCTAGGAGTTCTGTCCCTACGGAAAAAGACAAAACTACAAGGAACTTGCTTTTACACACTGAATCTTATTTTTGAGAGCTGTTACTAAATAACCACATGACTACCAGCTAAAAAGAATTAATGCTTTCCCCATCCTAATAAGGCACAAGTTCAGGCTATTCTTTAGATCCAGGTAAGATCACACTTTAAAACTCCTCCCAAAGCTGTCAATAGCATAGGCTCAACAGTCTTGTCCCTGACAGAGATGTGTCTGTCTTCTAAATGGAGGGATATTAATGCTTGGTCTTTAAGACTTTGATAATTGGCTTAATAAAGGCTCATTGTTCATTTGGCAATAACAGGAAGCTAATGTTCTACTGCTGGATCAAATACTCTATCCTTTGATAAAGCCTTGAGCTGCATTAATTTGAATTCCAGGGTAGAAGCCATAGAGGAAAAATAAGGTAAATAACATCTGAGATTAGTAGAAGCTGCCTGAATGTTTACTGAATGTATTTTGGAATAAAGATACAAACTGTCCTAGTTAGAACAGTCTCATCACCAAAAATTAAGGGGAAAATGTTTGTGATGATGAAGTTGCCAAACTGAGCGTTTTCCTTAGCTGTGAGTTAGCATGCACCTGAATATTGAGAGACTGTTTTAACCTAAAATTTCTGTGTAAAAAATAGGGAGCAAAGTGTGAAGAAGAAGATAAAGGAGAAACTATCTTTTTAGTACCAAGCAATATGAAGCAGCATATACTAAAATGAACAGTTGTTTTTCCTTCCCTCCTTAAATTTAAATATGGAGATTTGCAATTCCCCAAATACATTACTGTTTGAAAAGCATAAATAATCAGTTTTGAAAAAAGATTAAAAAATACTTTTATTGAGAATAATGGATTATGCAAGTGCTAGCAGGAATTTATTTTAAAAAATTCTGCTCTTCTAATACGTATGATCTCTTTAAAACTATATACTAAATCATCAAAGTTTCTCCTGCCTGTTAAGCAGTTACAGTATTTTAGCACAGGACATTCACAACTCAAATGTCAACCTGCTGACATTTTTTAAAGTAAAAACAGAGATAGCTTAAAAATATAAAGATGTTCAAAATTCTTGCAACAAAGATAATTGGGCAGGTACATTTTTTGCCTTCACAGAGTGTCCTTCTAACCTGATATTCAATTCAGTAAGAAGCCATAGTATTTGTGGGTTCTGCCCAGAATTTTCAGCTTAGTTAACCAACTTTGATCCTTACTTGCTAAACTGGTGGAAATCTGGCTGTGCATGCTTATAACTCACTTCAGCCTAGCTTAAATTAATTTCATCTCTATGTAGCTAACTCAAGCTTCGCTTGAGCATGTAGCCTTAATCAGCAAGTAGTACATTACATATATTGTCCTAGTTAAATACCAGTATGTATTAGGTTTTAATTAACATTTTAAACTTTCACGTTTTCTTCAGCATAATCACAAAAATCAGCTTTCATTACATTGCTCCCACTTCGTATATTATCTTTACTTCAGAAACAGTCTACATCAGCATCTAGAACCAGATCCAGCTTATTTGTTGACTTTTTTTTTTTTTAAACACAATTACTGGATCTAAAAGATTTTGCAACCACTTCACTTGATAATTACCAAATCTGATGACTTAGTTAAGAGCAGTATGTCCCAAAGTCACAGGGTGGGATAAGGTAAGACTGGCTGATGCAGATTCAATGTACAAGATCAGGTCTCAGATTACCTTGGAGCTACCATGCTCAGTATACAAGGGGGAAAAAATTCACTTTGCAGCTGTGATGGCTCCTTCTTGTGGAAATTTGCCTTTGCACTGAGAAGTGGCAACCCCCCTCCTTTACTGAATTTGCCTTTGCATTGAAAAGCGGCGAACACCCTGGGAAAGGACAGCAACTCTCTTGGAAGAAAAGAAAGGAATAGGATGAAGTACTCTTCTGAGTAGTTTGTCCATGAGTGTTTTCACCAGCAACAGTTAATGAATGTTTGCTTGAAGTTTTTGCAGATAAACATTCAATATAATACTCAAAATAATCATATTAATTATATACTCATAATAATAATATTAACTACCTGCTTTGCTTGTCTTTGAGCTCACAGGTGATCTTTATAGTTTTTCATTGTTTTTGCTAAGTCCTTGGGTAGAAAAATACTTTTTCCTGGTCCTGTAGGTCAATTACAACATCAGCCTTTAAAAAGACCACAAGAATGTGAATATATTTTTGAAACTGTAACTTCCATAAATATTTGTGTAGCTGAATTTTACCATCTTATCCAGGGGGATCTCCAAAAAGCACCTATATCTTAATTTTATTCACCTTCATCCCACAAAACTAGAGACATGGGGACTTTCTGGTCTGCTTCTCTTTAGGCCCCTAAGTACATCTGAAAGTCTGCCCTGTTTCTCCTCTGGGAAGTTAGTAGCTTGTTTTCAAGCCTTACTTGCAAGAAACAAATGATCACTACTGAATTACTGAATCCCCAGCAAGCAGGAGTGTATATTAGCTGGCAGATTCCTTTCCCAGAGACTAAATACAGCAACATCTGCAGCCTGGAATGTAGCTGGTGACCCACCCTCCCAACTCAGCATAGGCGACATTCCCTCCAGGCACTGTATTTTTTCTACACAGAAAAGAGTCAAAGAAACCGATGTTTTAATTAATAGCCATTCACTAGACAAGCTTTTAAGCTAAATATTCTCCTTTTGTTTTCTTACTTTCTTACTAAAGCATTTTTGAATTACACCATTTTACTATTTCAACAGGTCTGTTCTTGTTCTTCTGTCATTTGCATGCATATATATTTATAAAATGTTTCTCCATTAGATCACCCTGCAGATAAAGCTCCCATTATAGCAAATGCAAAACTATACAATCAGGACAAATGTCCTAGCAAACGTGCTCTGCTATTTTACTGCACGCAATTCAACAAGTATTTTCATGAAATTATGTTGATAAGCTGGTGTAACGCAACTGACTGCTACTAGTCAGATAGAAACGATAAGCAGAATAGTTCTAGGAATCCTACCTGAGAACATAAGAGTTGTTAAACTATAGTATAAAACCATATTTAATATTTCTAAGGCCCAATATCAATTCATCAAACCAGGAATATCCTTGTATTGATGGGGTAAAACTTAGCCTCGCCCTCAGACTTTAAGCATACTCCTTCAGGGTTTTGGGTTTTTTTGCGAGTTAGTTTGTTAATTCTACTGGATAAACATCATCTTAACACATTTTGGAGAGTATATGAGAAATTAAGATGTAATTTCAGGAAGACTTGTCACCACTGCCACCAAAAACATTAGTCCTACCCTCCCCCTTCCTGTACTAGTACAAGTGTTTGCATGGCTCTTCGGTGAAACAGATTAAACCAGTCTGATCAAGGCCAAAACTAATCCAGGAAAATCTCATGAAACAGCACACAGGATGGTGCTCCCCAAATATGAGCACAAATGATTCATTTTCTAGTTCTGCAGCAAACTTAGTTGTAAGTTTCCAGTTTCTCTCAGATAAAAATTATTATTTATTTAGCCCCACAATGAAAATAGCTTAGGAAGACTAATTAAAATGGCACTTTCTTAAAACAGAAAAACAACAAGCAGAAAACGCAATTCCTTTTCTCTTTTATTGATACTGCCAATGTGACTACCTTTATGCAGGCAGATTGCTTTCCTACATTAAACACTTTTTTATTAATTTGGAAGTAAGGTTTTGCCCTCTATACCTCCTAAGGTTATCCAATTAACACACAGTTATACTTTTAAGAAGTTTCCACATTTTCTCTTTACTTTTTTTTTTCAGATCTGTGTAAAGATTACTTGGCAAGAATACATGCATATGACGTTAAATGGAGACCAATCCACCACTAAAAGGTAATGCACATGAAACATAATACAGTACTTCGACATCATTTCAAATAAATACCCACATACAAATGTAGTTATTTTAAATGCAACAATATTTCTTATGAATCAATACGGTAACAGAAGATGGAAATAAAAGTCCCCACATCTAGGAATAATAATGCTTTTTTCCAGCAAACAGAAATCTTTTCCCCACTGTCAATATTATTTCAATTTGTACTTTTTTTGAGGAGTGGGAAGGCTCCCCCCCAACAAGTACCAATTTAATCATTCATGTGAGCCTCAACAAACAGTAGAGAAATAGGTACAGCTTGTTGATGCACTTCTCCATTTCTGTTTCCTGAAATTACAATGATTAGATACAACATGCAAGAGAAGATATCAATGTTTTGTTGTTCACATTTGCAAACAATACTATGGTTAACTGCACCCACCACCATACAAAGCTAATATAACATCAATATTCCTTATATGTTCTCTGTACTGTTACCACAAATGTGTTAATACATCTTGCGCATTTGTTCACCATGAGTCCATTTGGTTCCCAAAGTGTATTCGGGTTTGTTTAGGTTTGTGGTTTTTTTCTCTATACCCCTGAATTTGCAAGGATTTGCATCATGAAATATCATTGACTAACAGAATTTTTTACAATTCCTTGAATATATAATCTCTATAGTAAGACTACCCATTAAAAATGTGCGAAAGGGGAGTTCACTTTGCACTTATTGCTCCATGTCTTTAATAAATTCCAAAACAGCCATTCCATTTCTTCTAAGTTACAGGACTTAGACTAAGCTACTCTAAGAGTCTCCCTTAAAATGATTAAAGGCACTACTGGCAATAATTAATGACAGAAAGGCGCTGATATATAACACCCTATCATTGACAACTTTAGAATTTTTCTTTCTAAATGTACCATAATTTGGCACAATAAAATGAAAAAGTAACAAAACAATTCCAATTTGGAATTTAACTGGTATAGTTGTATAAAATTCTGTTAATCAATAATACTTCAACTTCCTAAAACCCAGGAAATCTGGAATTTATAGGTAATACTACTTATTTAATATTTTTCAAGTGCCTATTACTGTTTTAACCAGAGCAAAGTCAAGTTTTCTTCTTGTTACATTGAACTATTCCTAAGAATAATAATACAATATGAAAAAAACCCCAGAATTTGAATACCCTGGATTTCTTAATGAACATGGCAGTTAAGAAAAAAAAAAATCAGTAATTTAAACATATAAAGCTTAACATTTTATAATAATAAAAAAGCTGCTGAAGCACAGCACACAGTTTTAGCAGAGCTCCTGTTTTTTTTTCTTGAAACTCTTTTCTAATCACAATCTAGAGCCCCCCCAAAATCTCTGCCACATGCTGATGTAGAATTCAAAAATCACAAGCCCGAATTGGAGAGAGACTATGAGCACAAACCACTGCATTTATATAAACTCTTCTACATAAGGAATTAAAGAAGCTAAAGAAAAATATCAAAATATCAAAAGTGCACAGGTTTAACAATCAGATAAAAAATGAGCATCTGCAATGAGATAAGAAATTCCCCCAACCGAACATTTCTAGTAGATCATAAACTAATATGGTGATCGTTACATTTGAAGTAGGTTTCTTCAGCACTTGTAAGTTTTCTTACTGCAGCAGCACTTACAGGTAAAGCTTGTTTGTTTTATAGCTTCAGACATAAAAGGAAAGTTTCAGGTAGTATATAGGAAAAGGTGTTTTCAAAAGTTAGGATCAGGTCAGTGGTTTCCATTCTTTGTGCAATGGGCTACCACTTTTAACCATAATGAAAGAGGTTAAGAAATGCTGTTGCACTGTTGGAAAGGCCTTCTCCAGGGACTACTCTACAGCTGAAAAATGGAAAAATAAAATAGCATTAGGAAAAAAAAAACCCGCAAAAAACCAGTGCTTATTTCTCAATTAAAGAACTGAAAACTTAAAACAACGTGCTGCAAAAGCAGGTTAGTTGGTTGAGGGTGTCTGTTAGCTTACTGGGACAGAAGCAGCCATTTTAGCTCAGACATGCTTCCCAAGCCGATGAAACAATGCTTTATGGGGCTAGCCTGGAAGCAATAGCTTTGCAGAAAGAAGGTTTCTTACAAGTACTGAGTAAAGCTTTGCTGTTCAAGCACAAGTTAATGGCAATCAATGTGCAAGAAACATTTTCAGTGAAGCTTTAGGTTCTCCAGAAACATGCGGGTCAGTATATCATGCAGGCCAATGCAGAGAGTATCATTCAGAAGAAGAGCCTGCTTGCAGAGGTAGGTGACGGCTTAAGGAATTTTCCATGCTTTATCCCAACCCATTGAAAGTGATATGAAAGACTTACAGCAAATGTACGTTTCAAGAAATTGTTAATCAAGAATTACAAGACTCAATCTTAAATATTATCTAAAAATACAAACAGCAGGATCAAGTCACCTTACCACCATTCCTCATTTCTTTTTATAACAGGTGCTACAAGAACTTAAGCCATAACCTTGACAAGCTCAAATAGCAGTCGGGTTGGCTTTTTTGTTTTTTAAAGATTCACAGAAATGAATGAAGATGGAAATGACTACTAAGACTACTGGGCTAATAGCAAAATTGTGCATACTTGGAACTGAAAGCGTGAGCCGAGACTGATAGTAATAGTCACTGTCTGGTAACATTGAAATCTTTACAGAATGTTCCAATTAATCTGAAAAAAACCTAACAATGCATTCAATTAGTTTCTCCAATTTACCTTTTTGCCATCAGTATTTTGCAAAAACACTGCCATTAGAGACATGGAAGCAGTGAATACTGTATTAAAGCTCCCTACCATAGTAGCAAAATTGTAACTGTTTCTATTGGAGCAGAGAAAGTTAGCACTCAAATGCCTGCTTTTACGAAGTATTTATAAATTATACTTAATGCAGGAATGAGAAGAATAAAGGCCTTTTGGAAGATTGTGCAGCAAAGAAGAGACAAGCAGGATTGAAAATTGTTAAAAGATGTCTCGCTTCTAAAATATCAAACCTGCTATTTAGCAATATTAAAGCTCAAATTCAGGAGAATTCAGTGTTTTCTAAAAAAAGTAATAATAGATGCACAGGGCCTAATTTCTAAAGCCAGAATTGCTATTTGTTTAAACTTCTCAAGCAGTGATGTTTGAGCAACATACTAGACTTAAATCACTTGGGTTTTTTTTCCTCCTCTCAATATTAGTAAATGCAATTCTGGCACTGGATTGTGGCATTCTGATGTTTCCCAGCTTTGTAGCAAGGTTTCTACAATTTCATTTGTTTAAAGTCTCACTGTATGAATTTAGAAGTCTGTCTTTCCCCCCCCGCCCCCGCTATAATATCTGGGAAGCCAAAGTCCCATGTGGTTTCCCCTCACTGGGAAAACAAGCTGTGCTCCTTATTACCTTATATTAGTACTGTGATATCTCCTGACTACTTATAGGCAGAGCGGCAATGCACAGGAAGCAAGCTGCTGATCATCTATAAGAAATGGTAGTGAGATGAGGCAGTACCACACCAGGAATATTAGAATGGCTTTATAAAACATCACTATCAAGCAGACAACTGTGCAGTCTCGCATTGCTTTTAGTAATACTATAGGCATACAAAATCATTTGAAGGAGTACAAAATGAACAGGGCTTTACATTAAAATAAAATTTGAGGCTAGGCACTTTAAAACTCTGGTTTAAAGAAAAAAGTGTGCCTTGTTGTGCTCCACAAATTTTCCACAATTTTAGAAGCAACATTTTCAATCTTTTTCTCTTACGTAGGCACCAATTATGAAGTACACTTTTATATTATCAAACATACTGTAATTAAGTGGCTAAAAAGGCCCCTTAAAAGTTCAATAGCAGACAAAGGTTTATTTGTTTTTAAAGATTAATATGTATACTAAGCTACTTCATAAATAATTATTAGCAGGATGATCTGGTTCAGTTTCCTGTGCCTATAATGTAGAGCCCTGTGAAACATGTGCTTGCATAAGGAATGCAATATCTTTTGTGTATTTAAAAAAATGATCAGAGCTCTGAAATACTATACTATTTAGGTTAATACTGAAAGCTGAGAAAAACTGTTTTGTGACTGACAATACTAGACCATAGTCACATTAATTCGACACATATACGTTGTGTGGCTACAGTAATATATAAAACAGATTCTTTCCAAAGTGTTATGCTTGCAAGGAGCAACATGAGACCACAAAGATCCTTTCAGGACATGACACTTTTCCACAGCATAACTTCTTAAAGTGGAACTGTCTACCAGGTAGGATCCCAATTCTTAAAAATTTAAGTTTTACATCAGATGGAGTAAATATTGCATAATTTTAATAGAAATGTGCAAGTTTCTTCTGGTTAACCCTCTGAAGAGAGGGAAGCAGAGTGTAAATAGTGTACCCTACCAAGTTTTTTTCTAGGTTTTATAGCCTGTAAAAGCCTTAGGACTTTGGTCAGTGGTGATATGACAGCAAGTTCTTAATATCTGCCACAATAGGCAAATTAAGTTTGGTTCCAGTTTCAAAATGCTCTGCATTTTCAAGACATACCTCTAATTTTAACATTTGCTTTTCACCACTTCTTAAGCCACAACAACAAGGAAGGTTTTCTGTTTGTTCCTGCCTGTGAAAGCATGTATTGAAGTATGCTGCAACCCTGGAGAAAGGATCACATTTGCACTATACAAACTACAATTAGCACCAGATGTCCTATATCAGGTGTACTCTTTTAACACTTACCATTAACAGCAAAACCCATACATGTTAATTGTGGAAAAAGCTAATTCCTTTCCACTATTAACTTGTTAATAGCATCCCCATACTTATGAATTAGTTACAGTTAAGACCACCATAATACAATTTGTATTACTTGGTTTGACAACATACTAGTACAAGTCAACTCACTGCGACATTAGATAGTGGGGATTTACGCTGACAGTTACAGCATAAAATAAGATGCATAATATGATTTTTCTACACACCTGTCCTAGTCACAATAGATTTTATACTTCTCACTACAAAAAACCTGGTTGTTAAGGACAGATCCTTCAGACCTGTCTCCGCAGGACCGAATATGACTTACACTAGGGTTACTGCTCTTGGCTTTGGAAGCAGATTTTGTGCGCACCCTTTTGGACTGCTCATGGTCTAGCTCCAAATGTTCCAGGCGCTGGGTCAGTGCCAGTTTCTGCTGGATAGCCATCCGAAGCAAGGAGTTCAGAGTCTTCTTCTCATCCTCAGCTGCTGCAAGCTGCCGCTGCATTTCATCCAGCTGTGTGACATATTCGTCACATCTGCAATGAAATACATCAATCTTTAGCAATCCTGTTTCCACCTACAAAACATGAATCCCTTGTGTCCGGCTGATATTAGCAGAGTGATAGTTTTGCAGTTGCTTGCATACACACTCTTTTAAACAGGAACTTCAACCAAACCTGTAGAAAATCACAATTACTTTTCACTGGGGTTCTTATAATCCCACACTTGGCACTTCTGTTCATGCCTTTCATGATGTAGTATAATTAACAGCATCCTTAGATAATGAAAGTACGGAGCCTGATATAGAAGTACTCATATCTAAAGATTAGTAAGATGCCCTTCCATAGTGAGCAGACACAATGCAGTCAAATTACTTTCATCTCTCCTTACAGAGACCACAACAGTTCTAAGCTTCAGGCTGGAAAGGGAACCTGAGGGGAATAGTAGGACTGCTGTAAAATGACCATTACTAAAATGGCTACTAAGACCTTTTGATGAGCACCTGAACTTCGTAGTTTGTTACTTTACACATGGAGTCCAAATAACAAATTTCCAGTGGTGACTGAACAGCATTGTTAAACACAAGCATCTTTCATAGTTCTACTTTAACCTACTCTGATTCCTGCTGTAAAAATTCTATAAGTAGTGCTTTATTACTGTTTTCTCTATAACAAGTGGCCTTTATATAATTGTTTTCACTATCAAAATTAATTTTAAAACAATTAAACAAAGGAAGCAAGTGTTAATGGGAACGCTGGGGGGGAAGCTGTATGAATGACTGCAAGCTGTTTCATCTACAATCATTTTCACCAAGCTTGGAAGCTACTTAACTTGCACAGTGCATCATGAGCAATCTAAAAAATGAATGTCTTTACATGTAGATGCATATTTACTGCACATAGAAGACCAATTATGTGTTGGGTAGAAAAATAAATATTCATAGGTACCAGCTGGAATTTACAATGGCCACATCTGTAAAATACAACTTCCTCATAAACGCAAAAATATCAGCAGAGAAGTTCCTTTTAACATTGAAATAGAAAAGCCCCTGACTTTAAGCAACATTTATTATCATTAAGTAATATAAAGCAGACTGGGGGAAAAAAAACCCACCACAAAACAAAACTGCATTCATATGCAGATTCATCAGCTGTGCTTATACTATCAAATCCTGAATTCTGCTTTCTCTGACTTCAAATAGCAGGATTAGGCCTATATGCCTAGTTATGTTTGCTTGGGAAGAAAAAAAGGGAAAGGAAAAATAGAATTTTATTTTTGAATACTTATGTAGATTAAGCAATAACCCAGAAATATTCATATAAAACCTGCATCAACTACAACTGCAATGTAGCTTAGCATACCAGAAGGTTTTGAGTTTAGGGCCACTGTGTGAGCGGGAATCTATCCTCTCAAATCCCTGTGCATCCTGCTCTTGTGTTCATCGCAGTCTCTCTCATACTGTGGGGCATAGGGGAAAACCAGCGTGTGAGGCATTTCTCTTTTTAAAAAAACAACAAAACCAGGAACCTTAAACTTGCTAGAAGCCTAGCACCTGCCCTTTTCTCTTCATAGCTAGGTCAACCTTACAAGGCAAAACCAATCCATACACCTCAGTGAGGGCCAGATCTTACCCAATTTACCATTAGCACTAGAGAAGAACAGACTGAAATAGCCCTCGGAAGACTGAAAAGATGAAAATGAATTTTGCAGGCGTAACAGTCCTCCCCTCCTATGGAAGATGGCACCAGCTCCAAAATGAGGGCATGGCTAGAGAAATGAATAGCTCACAGCATCATTGCTAACCGTGAGCCCTGTTGCTCTAGATTGTCAGAGATGTATTTTCTTCACTTGGGGGTGGGAGCAAGGCACAGACTAGGCAAGGCAAGATTACTGTGAGGCCTGAGAGCTATGGGGTTTCCCTCCAGTTTTCAAACAGACTCATGACATTTGAGGTGAAAAGTGCAAGTCTGGTTACATCACAACTTACCTTTCTGCTTTCTTTTCTACCTATGCCCAATTCCTTCAAAGCTCCACTACGGCAAACCAAGGGAATGTCCAGAAAGTGTTACCAATTCCTTTGAGGAATGCAATGTGATTGCTTCAGCAAAATATGATCTGGCACTGGAGTGATCTCTCCCATTACCCTTGTTTCATTCTCAGTATTACCCTCCCAAGAGATCTGGGCAAGGTGAAATTATGGGGAGTTTTCCCCCCCCCTTTCCTAGCTCCTTTCTTGTGAATCAAAATGTATCCACTTTTGTACAGAACAGGAATTTAATTTAGACCCAAAATTTTCAGCTCAGTGAAGCAGTGTCAAGATTGCTGCAGTCTGTCTACTCATTTGACTTCCAGAGAGGTGCTAATCAATGTCAGCCAAGGCAAAAGTGGCAGATTTCTCCCCTGCCCCATTTAGAAAAAAAAATAGATGATGAAAACAAAACCGTTGCAGTAAAGCAGAGTAGGGACTTCCCACATGGTCTTGCTAATGTCCCTTAATCCTCTTCTCTAAACATTTCTGGTATTACTCAAATGCCTCTGATCAAACACAGTCAGTTGTGCCAAATCTGATAGCTGACTGGTAACACAGACAAATACTTGTCAGAGTCTAGAAGGCAGTAAAGTCATTCGCATGTGAGCCAAGTTATAATTAAAGCCATGACTTTGACTCCAAAAGGTTATTGTAGAAAGTCATTATCTCATCAAGCTTTCTGTTCGCACAAAGCTTTTAAACATCAAGTAACTGTCCTTAGAAATTACAAGGCATTCGCTATTTCAAATATCTAAATTAGCACGCTTTTTTCCCCCCATAAAACTCTATGCAAGGAGTTTTTCCTTCCTTTCCAACAAAAAGGAAGTGTTATCAGTAGCACACATGCAGTTGCAGTTTCTACTGTACCTAATAACTGTTCTCTCATATATAGGAGAGGACTGGAGAGAGGCAGGAGTGTTAACTACTATGACTACACATAGTCATGCATCCTGAAGCTGTTTTCCTGATCTTTACGTAAATGAAATTATATAGCCTCAAAACCAAACCTTCTCCTGGTGCAAGCATGGTCATCCAGAGTCAGAGGAACACTACACTATGCAAAATACAGCAATTGTTCACTCGAACAGAACAAGTGAGGGTTGAAAAGTTTTGTAGCAGTGGATGTAGTTGTTGTGTGCTCAGGTGGACTGGGATCTGCCCTACTTCCTTCCTTCCTGCTGTTCACTGACTCCCAATTTAATTTTCTCAAAAAAAAAAAAAAAAAAAAGTTAGCCTTCCTAAGCATGTAAGATGACACAGCCCCTAGCACTACTTTAGCTTAATGCAAAGCTAGTAGTAGTAGCCATGGCAGCATAGTTTTGTGGTATGTGTATTTGTGTTTTCACTGCTTTGAGGATAAAACAATAAAAGATCCTTCCCTCTTACAATTTCATTTGCCATGTCCTGAGCTACTTCCCAGCTGTACATTCAATACAAAAATCATCAGAAGGTCAGAACAGAAAATGTCTTTGTTTTAAGAACAGCTTTGAAAGAAAATAATTGAGCTTTCATGCTTTAAAGAATATGAAATTAGCATAAGCCTGTTGTACATCTACACATTCACAGTTTTAAGTGGATAGTGAACAGAAGGCTTTGATGTTCCCTATTCTCTTATGACTGGTAATTAACAATAACAAAAAAGGAGCTTAAGGAAACATCAACTAGATTTTTAAAAACAACACCAGCTAAAACAAACATCAACACAGAGGAAATAATATCCTGAATGTTAAATGTAAAAATGAGAAATAAAAACTAAATCCTCTAGAACACTACCTGAAGCCAAATTATTGAAAAATATAATGGGTCATCTCATTTTCAAAAGCTGCATACCGCTACTTCCCACAAATGCCAGTTGTGCCTTATTTCTACATACCATTTTATTTAAGCTTTAGCGTGTACTATATTTAATAACATTTATAGCTAAATTTACTATTGAATCAAGATCTGTTCCAGAAAAAAAGTGGTGTAACCAAATGCACCTGGGTATAATTATACTTCTTCCCCCTCCTCTGCAATCAATATGAGGACCATATGACAACTTCAAGAAAGCAAGACAGATGTGACTGAAGGAGGCCTTTTGAGAGAAGCATCAACTACTTTAACTTCTACCTCAAGAGATTAAATTGTCAACCTACATTAGAAATTAAAACACGGAGGATTAAAAATCACAATTTTTTGGCTTTATGAAAAACTGGGAAACATATTAGCAGAGAAGCAGCTAAAACGACATCTAAATGAGCATTGCCTGCATTCGGCTATAAGGGATATTAGCCACCTGCTATTTCAAACTGAATCTTTACATTAGAAATTAAGATTAACGACTGAATTTTAACACCTTCCCCCCACCTCCCCCTTACCTCAACCCCTGGTGAAAACCAGCTCATCTGCAGACAATGCAACAATTTTTTATTACCAAAGGAGGAACATAGGGAAGAAGATTATAGCAGTAATAAAGCTACTGAATCTCCTTTCACAAGGTGGCCTTCCACTCTGCATTGTGTGGCAAATGCAGATGAGCCCCACCATGTACCGCAGAGCTGTGCTCCTCAGCACCAAAGTAAGATTTAGAGCCAGTCTATACACAATTTGGATTTTTAAGTGGAAGAACACAGAAGGTTATTACTAGGGTGTCCTGGTTTCAGCTGGGATAGAGTTAATTTTTTTCCTAGTAGCTGGTACAGTGTTGTTTTAGATTCAGTAGGAGAAGAATGTTGATAATACTGATGTTTTCAGTTGTTGCTAAGTAGTGTTTAGACTAAGTCAAGGACTCTTCAGCTTCGCATGCCCAGCCAGCAAGAAGGGAGGGGACACAGCCAGGGCAGCTGACCCAAACTGGCCAAAGGGGTATTCTACACCATGTGATATCATGCCCAGTACACAAACTGGGGGGAGTGGGGCTGGGGAGTGAGGATTGCTGCTCAGGAACTAACTGGGCATCGGTCAGCTAGTGGTGAGCAATTGCACTGTTCATCACTTGTTTTGTACATTCTAATTCTTTTATTATTA